AATCTCAAGCTTTAGGAAAAAACAATAAAACTTTGTAAATATGTTCTCATTATTACGCAAAGATGGTTAGTGGCTAGCAGTGGAATCCAGTTTGACGCGCGTTTCGTCTTATTTGGGACTCGTCAGCTGAATGTACCTGCATCCCAGAGTTGATGTTCACTCTGGGACTTGTCCTGGATTCCAGTGCTAGCCACTAACCATCTTTGCTTAAAAAGCTTGTGACTTAGAGGCTATATCGATGCAATCTGCATAGGATGCACATATGCAATCATGAGACTGATCAATTGCGGTCCTGAATAACAATGGGAAGATACAAGTAAAACAACACCAAGTGAATTTGTTCTCATTATTGTTATCAGTTCAACATTAAATTACCTAAGGTCTTTGTTGGGGTGATCCAGAAATCGCTTGCAAAAGACAAGCAAGCGTCAAGAAACACTAAGAAGTGTCTCATCCAATCAGCGTTCACTTGGAGTCTTGGCCAGAAATATCAAGGTAGCGAAACGTCACATGCGGAAGCTCTGATTGGTTGGCTACTACAGTGCTACTATGTTTAGTAACACTCCAGAATATTCCAGCGAACCAAGGACATTTAGATATATTATAAAAACCCTATATTTTCTGTAATAAAATGAACTTGGGAGTAAAGTGTTTTCCCTCATACTTGCGTTTTCTCTCTGGTGTTCAAGTTGCTGTGCAGTTCTAGCCTTCGGGGTACCAGAATAGCTTAGGAAACTAATATAACGTTCAATCGATAAGACTTATCAGTCTCCTAATCACTGGATATGATTATCACGTAGAGGAAAAAACCTCACGAGTTTTACATCTATGTACATGGCATAGACCAACAGTCAATCAGTTCATAGTGTGATGCTATTTTTTCTGTTTGGCTATCTGTAGACCTAATTACAATGTACTGTGTTAACCAAAATAAGCTGTTCAGGTAGACAGTGTTTATCCGTTTGTTCATTTATTTGAACATATAAATATTGGTACAAAGGGGCACCGAATACACATGCACCACACAAATCAATGGATTTGTGTGTGGGCTGTGATACTTCCCAGGTGCCCTAACCGAAGCAGGTGGTTTTCTAAGGCGACCTCACGCGGAGCCTTTGACTTAAATGTCTAATCCATAAGGCAGTGGAACAACTATAGTAGATGTAGCCTCATGGTAGCCGGTGACCAACAATAGGTCCATACGCCATTTTTTCATTCAGGATCCTGCATCCCATGTGCACCATCGGTTTAGAATGAGGGTTTTCCAACTCCCCTAGGTGGATCTTCCATATCTACCAAGGCGGTTTAAGAAACAAACATTCGCTTTTTGTCCTTTCATCTTCGTAATTAACAGTAATGCTGCGAGAAGGCGATGAGTAGGAGTTCCCTGGTAGTGAATGTATATGCGTGGCCATGTGAGAACATTTGGAGAGGCCGAGCTCACTCTCCCCACTCTCAGCCATACCAGGGCATTTGATTGAATTATTACACTATAAAAAACATCTTTAACACTGAACAGAGTGATCATCTCCGAGTGATGATCGATTTCCATACTAATTAATCTTGTACGTAATATAACATATTCAACTGGTTAATGAAGTCTAGATTTAATGAAGTTAATTAATGAGAATTATTGATTTCTAACATAAATGTGAGATGATCAGTTGAAGAAGGCGAGTAGAAATAGGTTAAAATGTGAATATGTATGTAATCTGTTTGAGATATTACTGATCTATTAGGAATTTATTGCAAAGTTTACCTTGTCAACCGATATATGTAGTATGTATCATCACTTGAAAGTGGCAGATGATTAGGAAGATCGAAGAGAAGAGAACGAGCACAGGGAATGATTGGTGGGGAAACGAAGGAACTATCAAGTCTGAGACAATTGACTGACATTTTGTAAATGAAGTATTTACTGTATGGTTCTGAGATTCTGTAATGCTGTGTTCAAATACAATTGGTTGTTCCCCAATTGTGTTCTCATTCAGTTTTTCTTTAATCAAGCATTTAAACAACAATAAATGGTAATTAACGGTCTATAATACAAAATTAAACAAATTGAAGTTAGATATTAATACCGTCGGATATAGGCTCAATGGTCTAGAAGTTAAGCGTTCACATAAGAGAACAAAGTTCCTGGGTTTGAATCCTGCGTACAGAATTGTGAATGAACATTGCCAAGAAATCCCATAACCTTAACAGAAACCCTAACAATTGTTGTAGTTCTAAATATTAACAAATAATGTAATAGAGATCATATTCAACAGAAATATAAGTCATCTTTGGTAAACTTACTGAAATGATTCAGTTGGTCACAACTGTAAATTGTTTGAGAAACTAATCGTTTAACTTACTTACTTATTCCTGTTACTCCTCGTGGAGGAGCATAGGCCACCCATCAGCACTCTACATCCAAACCTGTCCTGGGCAATCCTTTCCAGCTCCTTCCAGTTGTTATTCATCCTTTTCAAATCTGCTTCTATTATCCGACGTAATGTGTTCTTTGGCCTTCCTCTTTTCCACTTCACTTTAATTTGAGCTTGCCTCGTGATGCAGTTTGATGATTTGTGTAATGTATGTTTTATCCATTTCCATCGTCTTTTCCTAATTTCCTCTTCAGCTGGAAGCTGATTTGTTCTCTGCCACAGAAGGCTGTTGCTGATAGTATCCGGTCAATCGATTTTGAGTGTCTTTCTCGAACAAGTATTTATTAATACTTATACGTTCTCGATATGGTTGTGGTAGTTCTCCACGTTTCATCTCTGTACTATAGAACTAACTGTGTTGATGTTCGTATTGAAGATTGTGAATTGGTTGATAGACAGCTGTTTTGAGTACTATATGTTCTTCAATTGTAGAAATGTGGCCCTTACTTTGCTAATCCTCGCCTTTACGTGTGCATCTGATCCCCCTTGTTCATCGATGATACTTCCCAGATGCTTGAAAGATTCCACATTTTCTGGAGTTTCGCCATCAAGTGTGATCGGATTGGTGTTTTCCGTGTTTTATTTGAGGACCATGATTTTCCACTTGTGGTAATTAATGAATCATTTGTCCATAAGACCCACCGATTCTAAACTACCTTTGCTTTAATATCAATAAATTCCTATTTAATCAACAAGAACAATAGAAGTCGTGACCAATGGAGCTAAACCGTGTCGGGTAGAAACAGGTGTCTATCTCAGTACAATGGAAGATGGTCGCGAAATTTCGTGGATTGGTTGAGGTTAGACATTAACACCATTGGATACCGGTTCAGTGGTCTAGTTGGTTAAGCGCCTGGCGCGAGACTGATAGGTTCTGGGTTCGAATCTTGCGGGGGTGCGGGATCGTGGATGCGCACTGCTGAGGGGTCAAAACTTAACAATCTCCACAACCCCTTAACTGATAATAATAATAATAATATTAATAATAATAATAAGATATATACAAACAATAGCAAGTGAATTTGTTTAACTAGATTACTACCCATAGTAACACGTATTCGACTCACTTACAATAAATCTTTACAGGTTGAAATCATGAGTCAGTCGAAGCTAGATCAGCATGGGAAACCTGGACGGCCGTTTCGTCCTAGCATGAGACTCCTTAGCAGCGCGCACCATCGACCCTGCACCCCGCGGGATCGATCCCAGGACCTACTGGTTACGCGCGCGAACACTTAACCATCAGACGACTGAGCCGGCATCCAACGGTGTTAATGTCTAACTTCAACCAATCCTCGAAGTTGCGCCACCGTACACCATTGTCTTCAGTGAGCTGATATCCCACAACAGACCTGGTTGTACTCCACTGGTAACGGTTTCTCACTAGAACTCCAGGATTATCTCTTGAAGTCAGTCACTAGTGACCAGTTGGTTATGATCAGAATGGGTTTAACTAGATTACTATCTATAGTAACAAGTATTCGATTCACTTACGATAAATCTTTACTTAAACTGAATTTCTTCAATGATGATTATATTCAATAATAAAAATCAATTTCTTATTTGAATGTTTCATTATAAACCGATCAAATCTCATTATTCTTAACCCTAGTCAACAATCAGTTAGTTATAATATAATATTCATATATATGTATTCTATATTCTGTTTATTTCCCTTTCCATTTTTACCCCCCTTTGTTTATCATTATAGTAACAGTTAGAAATAGGGAAATTGTTACAATAACCTTCAAATTATAATTTGTCTACCTGAATACTATTATGATTAAGTCTATGTTCATTTGTTAAATGAACACCCCCTCTGTCACCAAATCGTTTTATATTGATAATGAAAACAGTTAGATGAGTTATTTTAGTGTAAAGTATAAGGGAAATCTATACAACACATAGATACATACAAATAGACATAGATACATATACTTTGTTAGAAAACATAAAACTGATTGGTGGTATATATTATCTATGTATATACACATATCAACTAATATTGGATAGGTTTTTCATTCTAATTGATCTATTCTGTTAGTTCTATCTATCTCTATCCTCAAAAAGAAAGAAAAGAAAAGAAAAAAAAGGAAAAAACATCGAGTGAAAGAGAGAAAAACAAGAAAAAGAAACGAGAACAACATTATCTAATCGGATATTCTTTATAAATTAACTATCATCTGATTGGTTAATACAATTGAACCAATCGCAATTAAATAAGAAAATAGATTCTATATTAAAACAGATCTATATGATGATCTACATAGAGAATAGATTCATTATTATTGAATAGAATGAATTCTTTATAGATCTATTATTTCAATGGAATATATATATAGAAGATTATTGAACATATTTAAGTAGTATATATAGCCATAGCAACAAGAAAACAAATGATTCCATGTAAATACAAAGAATTCTATTGATCTTGATCAATTTGGGATATTTTTCAGTTCAGGAATTATATACTACTACTACTACTACTAATACTACTTATAATAATTGAATGATGGCAACACATGAAACGATATTAAATAATAATGAAACTCATTCAATGATTAATTGTTCAATGAATCATAATAAAACAATTGATCCAAATCAAATTCATGAAACATTGAATTTAATTATGAATGGTTCATGTTCATCATTAACTGTTACTACTATGTCATTCTGTAATTCATCCTCTTCCTTTTCGTCCTCCTCCTCGTCGTCGTCGTCGTCGTCCTCCTCCTCCTCATCCTCATCGAAATCAGTGGATACAATACGTCAACAGATGAATTCATCATTATTAAATTGTATAAATTCTAGTCAATTTATACCTTCTTCTAATTCAGAGAGTATGATACCATTACATTATGTTAATCAAAATCAAAATCAATCATGGTTAATGAAAACATTGGATACTACTACTAATACTACTAATACTACTACTACGACTTGTACAACAAATACTACTAATAGTAGTATACAACAGACTATAGATGATAACAGTATGGATGAGATTGATACTGTGAATACTGTACATAATAATGATAATAATAATAATAATAATGATTCTTTTCTGAATAATTCCTTTTTATATCAATCCACTAATTATTTTTTAAATAATTTAACTCCATATTCTATAGATAGAAAAGAAGGAATTACTATCAGTACTACTGCCAATACTACTATAACAACGATGACGATGACGACGACGACGACACCGACACCGACAACGAATCCTCCAATTATATCCCAACATATTCTAAATGATAATAAAGAAATAATTATGAATAATGAAATAGGAGAGAATTATACTGGAATTATTTCAAATTTACATAAATTTACGAATAGTTTATCATTAGATCAAAGGAAACAAACATTCCATGATCATAATAATCATTGTCCACCAACTTCTCTACTTCATCATGATACTTATTCATATCAGATGAATAAAATAGATACCGTGAATAGTGACAATATCAATCATGACAATGATAATGATGATGATGATGATGATGATGATGACGACGACGGTGGTGGCGGTGATGAAGGTCATGGTGATGATGATGACGATTATATTGTTGAACATGATCATCATGATGATAACAATGGTAAATTTAATAAAAATTGGAAACATAAAAGAATGAAACTTGAAAATCATTTACATAATGATATAAACATTACACAAATGGATTATCAAAATAGAAATTATAATCATAAATATGATCATAATACTACTACTACTACTGATATTTCTATCAGCAACCATGGTAATACAACTAAATCAATGATTATGTCTATAATACAAGATAGAGAGTTATTAAATGATGTTAGTGATGTTTGTAATGATAAAACTAATGATCATCATCATCATAATGATGATGATCATGATTTCAGGGATGATATAATGAAGGTAAATAATAATAGAGAAACTACTTGTGATAATACTGTACGAGAGGAGAATGATGAAGAAGATGAAGGAGAAGAGGATGGCGTTGATGATGATATTGATAATGATGATAATGATGATGATGACGCCGATGGTGATGATGATGATGACGACGAAGAGATTGACGAAGAAGAAGATCCAGATTATATTCATGATCAACAAATGATTATAAATGATAATAAAAATATAAAAAATTCTCAACGTCTTACTCATTCACCACCACCACCACCACAGCAACACCATCATCATCCTAATCATCTCATTGAAAATGATTGTTTAAATCTATTAAAATATACAAATAATAGAAATCAATTATACAATTTACAAAATGAATTAAATCAAGTATATGATGAACAAGATGATCATAATATTCAATTATTAATGTCCCCTACACATCACCATCATCAACATAATCACCACCACCACCACCACAGCCAACAACAGCAGCAACAACAACATCCTCACCAACATCATCCAAATCGATATAATCCTTTAATGATGTGTCAACCAAATAAAATAATTGAAAATATAATTGATTCACGTACACATACAAAATTATTAGATCAGAATGGTATAAATTATGGAATAAGAGGGAAAGTAAGTAGTATAATTATATATATTTTATATAAATATTATATTTCAATAGTTGAGATGATGAATCGATCAATGTTAGCACCATCATTGAAAACTTGAAAGTACTAATTGGCCGTTTCATCTTATTGTAGAACTCATCCACAATATGCATCCACAATTCTGCCTTGCAAGATTCAGTGCTCACTGCTAAGGAATCCCGCAGTAGGACGAAACATCCGTCCAGTTCTTTCAGGTTTTCCATCGTGATCTAGCTTTAATCGATTCATGATCTCAACTATTAAAATTACTATAATACTCACAAAACCCCTTCAAATATATGGAACAAAATATAACGTTTTTATTCATTTATTGTTTACTTGTATCTTCCTATTGATGTTTAGGACTGTAATTGATCAGTCTCTCAATGGCATATGTGCATCCTGTGTAGATTGCTTAGATGTTGCCTTAATTCACACAAGCATTCTAAGCAAAGATGGATAGTGGTTAGCAGTAGAATAAAGAACACGCGTTTCGTCCTACTTGGGACTTGTCAGTTGGGTGTACCTACATCTCAAAGTTGATGTTCACTCTAAGATCGCATAGCATAAGCAAGTGTTTACCAAGACACAGTAGCTAAGTGGATAACATGATGATAGTTGAAGCAAACGGTATTAGGTTCGAGTTCTGGCTGGAGTGAATATCAACTCTGACATGTAGGTACATTCATCTAACGAGTTGTAGATTCCACTGCAAACCACTATTCATCTTTTATGATTAGAAAACTCACTGACATTCAAGATTACACATTAATAAATCTTTTTTAGTATTCAAGTATCATAAATAGATATTGTGTATTTAGTTATAAGTAAGATTGAACTGTAGTGTTTATTAACAAAGTTTATTGCTCATATTTCTTACTATATGAATATTGTCATCTGTTAAATTGTAACATATCCACTTTTAATGTGGCATTCGAACACAACACTTTAAACACTAACAACTTCAACAGTTGACTCTTTCCCTTTCTTTAATTGACTGGGTCAATTCTTCAAAAGATCAGTATAGGGTTATGAAGATTATTAAGTTTTTGATTGAGATCATGAATTGATTGATGTTAGACCACTATTGAAAATCTGGAAGCATTGGATGTCTGTTATTGCGGGACTACTCAGCAGTGCGCATGAATGAATGAATATAGGGTAAAATCTCTTTTTTTTTTAATGTTTACACAAACCTATTTCAATTTGTCAATGTGAGGGTTTTGTATCAGTTATTAAATGTTATTAAGATCACAAAGAAACGTACATTAGGTAATCAATATATGACACCTTATTAACGTACATCCACGATCCAATCATAGATTGAACTCAGGATGTTCAATTCACGCGGTGGGGTCATAACATTAAAATCAATAAATCGATAATAATGATTAACATTTTCAAGTTTAATCCATTTAATAGTATTGTGTGGTTATCTTTATTATCTTTGGTGGATGCCTACCACTCATCCGACATAGTTACACTTAACTGGTCACAGATCCTTACTAGATCTATGAAATTTTCAGTTTAACAATTTAAAGAATATTAGATAAAGATGTTTCTCACACTGTCATCGAATTCATAAATATTTAACCACATAAATATTGGTACAAAGAGGCACTAAACCCATATGCGCTAAATAAATCCGGGTGCCTAAATCGAAGGTGGTTTTCTTAAGAGGACATACCCAGAGCCATTCGACCTAAAAGTCTGATCCACAAGGCAGAGAAGCAAAGTCAGGAGCTGCCGTTACGTGGCAAACGGTGACCAATAATTGGTTCATACGGCACTGATTCCTTTAGGAGCCTGGAGCCCATGCACACCATCGGTTTGGAATGAGGGTTCTCCAACCCCCCTAGGTGGATACTCCGAATCCATAAACTCGGATAAAGTGCCAAATATTGGCTTTTCGCCCTCTCAATTTCGTAAACAACAGTAATGATGCGAGAAGGTAGTGAGTAGGACTTCCCTGTCATTGGCTATGTGAGAGCATTTGAAGTGGGAGAGTTGACTCTCCCCACTATCGACCGTATCAGGGTATTTAGGGGGGTAGGGTGAATTTCTATCTATAATTGTCAGAAATAAATTTGATAATGCTCACCCTCCATTAAAAAGCGATAATTCCGTATAGTGACCAATATGTTTTTTCGAGTAATGAATTTTATCGGAAGGGGTTTGTGGAGATTTAAAAAATTTCACAGATTGAAATCATGGATCAATTGAAGCTAGACCACCATGGAAAACTTAGAAGCACTGGACGGCCTTTTCGTCCTAGTATAGCACTCCTGAGAAGTGCGCATCCACGATCCCGCACCCCGCGAGATTCGAACCCAGGACAATGTTTATGTTCATTAATTAATTAAACGATTACATAATTCATTCATTCATAATGATTTCATAATTAACATTATCCATGAGAATCCAATAATCAATTTTGAACGAAACAACCATAGCAACAATTTTAAAATTATGATTAGAATGGAGTTTGTAAAGATTATAGTGACTTTATTGATTGAATTCATGAGTTGGTCACTATCCTGTATGCGGGATCATAAATACTCACTGTTGACGAGTCCCATATTAGGACGATATCGCCGTCCAATACCTTCTGATTTTTCCATGATGATCTAGGATGGACTGACTCATGCATTCAACTATTAAAATTACTACAATCTCCAGAAACCTTATTTTGATCATAATCATCATGTACTCACTAATGACGGACTCCAAGATGATTTCCTGGAGTTCCAGTATCGAATAGGTACAAGTATCTACCACAGACAATGGAAGAATGATTGTACATTCATGGGTCGATTGAATGTCGGCTCAGTGATTTACAGGCTAAGCGTTCACGCTTGAGACTGATGGTCTAGGGTTCGAGTCCCGTGTACGGAATTGTAGATACAGGCCAAATGTACTCATCAATTCTACAATATTCAATAAATGTCTCGTATCCAGCAATTTTTTATAGTTATCTTTCAATTTATCATCATCAACAGCTCTTCTTTTCACACTTTATTTCTCTACTTTTTTTTCCATCCATTTACATCAGAGAAGTTCCAGTATGAATAGTTCTAGTATGAATCTACTTCGAAGTGGATGTATACTTTTTTCTAATGAATGTCTACTGAGATAAATAAAGTTTTTACTTTACCTGAACAACTTCAAAGTATATTGATTATAGCAACATCTAACTGTCTAATCTAAAGTTGTAATTTCATACTAGAACTGATCATCTTGTTGGTTCATCATTTTCAATAAATTCCATTCAGTACAATACGTTTAAATGAGACATTAGCACCATTGAATGTTGGCCAGCTAAATGGTTTAAATGTTAAGCGTTCGCTCTCTAGACCAATAGATCCTGGATTCAAATCTCGCTAGACAGAATCGTGGATATGCACTGTTGAGGAGTCCCACAATAGAACGAAACGGCCATTCAGTGCTTCCAGGTTTTCTATGGCGGTCTAGCTTCAGTTGATTCATGGTAAAAAAAAACTAACCCTTTTCAAGAGTCAATATCCACTTTCTATCTCCAATCAAAGAAGATTTCTTCTAGCTGAACCAGTTCAATGATTTTCTTATTGTCTTATCCATTATTCATAAGGTTCAGTATATAATATTAGTTGTTAGTGAATCATAGAGATTTAAGAACTGTTTGATAATCACATAACCTTAATAGTTAAATTAATGAGTCAATCTATGTTAGAGCATCATTTTAAACCTGAAATTAATGAATAGCCATTTCGTCCTAGTATAGGATTCTTCAGCAGTACACATTCACTACCATATAAGCGGGAATCGAACTATTGAGCCTTACTTCATTATTAATATAGAACTCATTGATAATGTATTTTAGCAATCCCATATGAAAGTAAACTTACTCCATTTGTATTCATTTCGGAAATCTATATATCAGGATATTTATCTTAATCAGGGTGACTCTTTACTTGATTAAAGGTACACATTCTTCTCAGAAATTGATCAGGAGTTAAGAGTACATTATTATTATTATTATTATTACTATTATTACCAGAAGGGGCTTTGTGGAGATTGTAGACTGATATTTCCTAGGTTCATATCTCACGAGGCGGGATCATGGATGCTCACCGCTGAGAAGTCTCACAATAGGACGAAACGATCGTCCAATGCTTCTAGATTGAACATCTACACATTTACATCTTTTCAAATATCTTAAATTTAAGATTAACTATGACTAACTACCAGTATAACTAAGAGAGAACAGTATTTATTCAATAATGATTTATTATATATCAATATCATAAATAATAATAAGACTTATATACTACTACTACTATTACTACTACTTATACTACTTATTTACCATGATAATTAATTTCTTTTAATTTAATCAATATTTTTGAATATCCGGTCAAGAAAAGTAATTGTTTATTTTCTATGGTAATTATTTATCTATATATTTATTACGTGGAGGGAGGGGGATAGGGGTGGAAGGGAAAAATAAAGAAAACTTATCAATAAACAAACAAAAAAATTATTGATTTTAAGGATAATTTATTGTTACCTAGTCAATAGTGTTTCCTTGTTGTTGTTGTTGTTGTTGTTGCTGGATGGATTCATCTTCTTTCATGTAACTATAATAAACATTCATGAAGAGACATTAAAGAAGAGAAGAAGAAGAAGAAGAAGAAGAAAAGAACCCGGATGATAAAGTGAAAAGTAGAATTACAATAGTGATGATTATGAATTATATTTTATAAGAATAATAAGAATATAATTTATATGCTGTGTAGTTTATTGAATTCATCTGTTCCTGCCCTTGAATACCATAGTACGGTTGAGAGGAGGGAGAGTGAGTTCACCCTCTCGAAATGTTCTCATATGGCCACGCGTATACAGCCACGGTCAGGGATGTCTTACTCAATGACTTCTCGCGGCATTATTGTTGAAGATGAAAAGCGAATGTCCGACGCTTTAACCATGCAGGTGGACACGGGCACATGC